CCGTCATTGTTGTTTGGCGGGTCCGGGCTGGGGATTTGAACCTGCCACCTTAGGTGTACGTGGCTGGCGCCTTAGCCGGTTGAGCTATAGGCGCCAAGCCATGAGTGTCACAAATTTATTGAACCAACCAAACAATATAAAAATCAAAATGGCACAGCATATATATAAATAAATAAAAGAACTGTATGTGTAACAGAAAGTCAAAGCAGTGGCACATTAAAGCAAAGATAGCTGGATATAAAACAATGAATGTCTATTGCATAGTAAATAAACTGAAAACATTTTCAAGTAAGACAAGATGGTGGAGAGATAACCAAGAAGGTGTTGGCTAAGGCCTGCTAAACAACGACAACTGCAACCAAAAAAAAGAAAGAAAGAAAGAAAAAATAGCCAAGTGTTGTGGCGGGTGCCTATAGTCCATGCTACTCCTGAGGCTGAGGCAAGAGAATTGCTTAAGCCCAAGAGTTTGAGGTGGCGCCACAGCACCCTACCAAGGGTGACATAGTGAGACTCTGTTGCAAAAAACCCAAACCAAACAAACAAAAAAAACCCCCCAAAACTGTTTGACTTCAAGAGAAATTAGAAGCTTAAGCTGAAACATAGTTGAGTATTTACATGCACAATGATGCTAGTTTTTCACATTCTTTTACAGTTAAAATGCAGAGTTTGTATTCAGGGGGAGGAAAGGTTACTTAAACCAGGAGAAATGTACTACTAACTAAAAGAGACGACTAGTGTATCCCCTATCTCCAAATAAAATAGTTTCAATTTTGTCTGTAAATTGATGTTCTAATCACCCGTAATTTTTTTTTTCTTTTGCAGTTTTTGGCTGGGGCTGGGTTTAAACCTGCCACCTCTGACATATGGGGCCGGTGCCCTACTCCTTTGAGTCACAGGCACTGCCTGATCACATATAATTTTAATCTCAGAATTCTTTGGGGGCTAACACTGAAGACTACAAGTATATTCTTTTTTTACTCTTTTTTGATCAACGTAATTTTTTTTTTTTTGGTAGAGAGAGTCTTACCTTATCGCCCTTGGTAGAGTGCTGTGGAGTCACACAGCTCACAGCAACCTCCAACTCCTGGGTGCAATTCTCTTGCCTCAGCCTCCCAAGTAGCTGCGACCACAGGTGCCCACCACAACACCCAGCTATTTTTTGTTGCAATTTGGCCGGGGCTGGGTTTGAACCCGCCACCCTTGGTATATGGGGCTGGCGCCCTACCCACTGAGCCACAGGCGCCAACCTTGATCAACGTAATTTAAGTGTGCTGTCGAAGTTTAACTACAGGTTCAAGTGTGCCGTGAGAAAAGAAGGTTGAAAAACACTGGTTTATGGGGTTATCTATGCCACTCTGTTAAAAGCTTTTGACAGTTGTGCACTATGTTTCTGTTTATAGTGAAATTAGTTAATAGTTTGCATAGCTTGACAGTATTTTTTAATTCTGTCTGCTTAACAGCCTATCATGTCAAAGACAACCAAAAGACCACTGAACAAAGAAAAACAAATTTTTTAAGGAAGATTAGGAACTGCAATATTATCCTGTTTCTGTGAAAAGATATGATTTGCTAACTTTGTGATACTGCAATATCAACATTCAAGAAATTCAATGTTCATCAGCATTATAGCACGCATAATGACTGCAAATATTTTAAATTAGAGGAAGAGGTGTGAAAGGTTGTACTGCAAAAGTTAAAAGATGAAAAAAGCAAAAGCAAAGACAATTCCTTTAAGCAGCAATAAGACATGGAAATAATGCCACTTGAAGCAACTTATGAAAACAGCTTATATGGGGCAGGAGGGATGGACCGGCCATTCAGTGATGTGCTAAAGCTAAAAATGTTCTTACATTGTTCATCATTTACTTCCCTTTTATCTTCTCTTCTTCCTTTCTTACAGTCCCACTGTTTAACACATTGGAAGACCTGGATTGGTGGTCCAATTCTCTTACCTTTCCTACTGAATCTTTTTCTTTTTGACATTTTCTACAAAATTTCTTCACCTTTATCCTTCAGTATTCTTAATTTCAGCAGCCACATTATTTCATTTCCTGAAACTGTTTATTTTCTTATTAAATAGTATTCTGTTCTTTCATGGATGCAATTTCTTCTTTTATTCCTTTCTGGGAACATTATAGTCTTTGGGGTTACTTGTTTTAAACATTGTCCTCCCTGAAGTCTGTTTCCTCTGAGTTTCTGTATTTCAGATTCTATCTCTCATGATGGAGGAGTTCTTCAAAAGCGATTCTAGTGATCAAAATTTAAAAAGAAGCACTCAAAGCCCACTAGAAATTCTGAGTATAAAGTCTACATCTTGTAGACTTGTGGGCTTCATTTACTAAGATGATCTCTGTTGGTTGGGAACCTAGAAATTTACCTGTAGATTTTTTTCCTGAGGCTATTCAATTGTCCTTGGTATCACACTCCTGGTGGACCATGGTAAGAGAAAAAAGGAAATAGTGGTGGTAGAAATATGCCTTACCACTAGCATTCTCGAAATCAGGAAAACCACTTTTTTTTTTTTAAGAGACAGAGTCTCACTTTATCGCCTTCAGTAGAGTGCCGTGGCATCACAGCTTACAGCAACCTCCAGCTCTTTGGCTTAGGTGATTCTCTTGCCTCAGCCTCCCAAGTAGCTGGAACTACAGGCGCCTGCCACAATGCCCAGCTATTTTTTTGTTGCAGTTTGGCAAGGGCCAGGTTTGAACCCGCCACCCTCGGTACATGGGGCCAGCACCCTACTCACTGAGCCACAGGCACTGCCCGAAAATCACTATTTTATAGTTGTATTTTACTAGAGTTCCCAGATTTCAGGATAATGCCTCATCATCTGCCCATGACTGGGTTTGGTATCCCTGAATTTAGAGTTTTTGTGGTTCATTTCCATCTCAAAATAAACTTCCTGTCTCTTGCTGAAGTACGGCATCAAATTGCTTCTTATTCATTTTCAAATACTATCCTTCTTTCCAACTTTACCTTGCCCTTCTCTTCTGTGATATACCACGTCTCCAACTCTTAAACCTTTCTGGTGTTCTACAGCTTAGCTGGCTGACACATTACTGGCAAGTGTTCTTCAGCTCAGTGAAAAATTCCATCAAATTTTCATCTTTCCAAATTTGTTGACATAGCCAGCCTATCTGCTGTCTCCCAATTTTCTTCACCTATATGGATTTAATCTTTTGTATTCCCCATATTCTCTTTTCAGCGGGATTTCAGAGGAGATAGGAAAAAAAGATTTAGTTTGTGATATTTTATTATAAGCCACTCTATCTTTCTGTACACAAAAATAAAACATAAGTAATGCTGGACAAAGCAACCTTTTGGCACAAAGAGAAACCACAAAATGGTAATAACAGATCTTTCCCTGAAATGAAGTTTAATAAGGGGAGGACAGAAGACCATGAAGATAGAGAAGAGCTCAAAGGTGAATAGGGGACAACAAGTAAGGAAAAAAGGCTTATTAAATCAATTCTGTCAAAATTTCTTTCCATTTCTTAAAGGTAATTATGTAAACAACAATAAAAAGAAATTATGCCTAACCATAGCTCTCTTAAATTGTGCCCTAAACCTAAGCCAAAGAGCTGATGAATTTCAAATGTATAGCTGACAAATCATGGCAATGAAAAGTGAAGTCTTTGTAAACTTACTTGTGTGGAGTCTGTCAGACCTCTGAAATGATTTCTTCCCCAAGCCTAGCAAAGGACTTTCCACTTTAACTGACGATGAAAAGCTGGAGTTCGAGTTCTGAGGACTGCTGCTTGACTGTCCATCAGATTGCTTTCCTTCCCATATTGCTAGAGGGAAAAATATGTAAAGACTAATGGCACTGAGATTATAGAGAGAAATCAATCAATCAATCAACAAACCAATGATTCAGTACTAACTAAATGAAGCTAATGTATGAGGCAACATAATTCCAGTAATGTGTTTTCAGTATGAGAATTAAAATCATCAAACTGAATTATGTTAATATAGTATAAGGTCTGTATCTAAACCAGTTTAGATTACAAATAAATTAAGGAACAACAACAAAAAAATCAAAGGCCTTGTACACATTTGCTATGGAAAGTCAAAGGTAGTATATATACACTTAAAACCTTTTCATTTTTAAAGAGAATCAATAAAGACCAGCATAAGCTTTTTGCAAACATCATATATTTTTAAGATTACTGACTAGAGGCTTCCAAATATTATTAGCTTAGACAATTTTGAAAGTTAGTCACTGATTTCTATCTTACAAACAAATCCAACTGATGCTTTTTGTGGGGATGGGGGGAGACAGAGTCCTACTCTATTGCCCTCAGTAAAGTACCGTGGTGTCACACAGCTCACAGCAACCTCCAACTCCTGGACCAAGGCAATTCTTTTGCCTCAGCCTCCTGAGCAGCTGGGACCACAGGCATCTGCCACAACGTCCGGCCATTTTTTTGTTGTTGTTGCAATTTGGCCAGGGATGGGCCTGAACCAGCCACCCTCGGTATTAGGGCCAGCACTCTACCCACTGAGCCACAGGCATTGCCCCAACTGATGCTTTTTAAAATAACTGCAGGAAAAATAAATAACTGCATGATTATTCAGCAGACAACTTCTCTCATTTATCCTGGAAGGATTTACTGGTATATTAATGATTTGGCAGCACAAAAATGTAAATACAGAATTTAAAAGTAAATGATATTGTATACAAATCTGGAAAACCAACATAAAATACTAGGAAAAAGAAGCTTCCATTGAAAAACATGCCTAGGCAGCACCTCTAGCTCAGTGAGTAGGGCGCCAGTCACATACACTAAAGCTGGTGGGTTCGAACTCAGCTAAAAAACAACAATGACAACTACAACAAAAAAAAAACAGCCGGGCATTGTGGTGAGTGCCTATCGTCCCAGCTACTCGGGAGGCTGAGGCAAGAGAATTGCTTAAGTAAGCCCGAAAGTTGGAGGTTGCTGTGAGCTGTGACGCCATGGTACTCAACCCAGGGTGACAGTCTAAAGCTGTCAAAAAAAAAAAAAAAAGAGAGAAAAAGAGAAAAACATGCCTAAACTGCCTACCAGGTTTGGCAGGTACAGAGTCGCTAGTGGCTTTGATAGTCTTGAGAGAGAGATGTTGGTTGGAGGAGATGGACATGCTGGGCCTACATTGCTGCTGCTGCTTCTTCTGCTGTTGCTGCTTTAGAGCCTATAAAGAGAAAACTGACTATAAGAAACAAAACAAATCAGTTTCTTAATAACATAAAGTAAATGATTTTTAAATGGTGAGAACCATGCTGATCATCTAATTTCTTTGAAACCTATCAAGGCAAACAAAAACCTAAATTAAGCCAACTAAACACAAGACCTGAATGATCCTTATACATTGGTAAACTTGGTCAGTATTACTCCTTTATATAAATGTGAGAAAGTCATTAACATATCTAAGAACTTAAAAACTAACGAGTAAGCCAAAAACATCCCAATCATGTAAGCACAGGCATAGTTTTAATCATGTCTGGAAATAGAGTTCTATACCCTATACCCCAAAGAGCCATATTTGCATCAACCTTATGTAGAAATACAAACATTTAGCTTATGTATATGTATGCTTCATAAGGGGCTTGCTGTATTTGAATAAGAGGTTATAAATAACTGCTTGAGTAATCTTGAATAAGAGCAACAAGATTTGTCTCAATTCCCAAATCTCAGCAATTTACAGCAATGGACACCCTATATATGTGTTGTTCTAACACAAATTCTAAAATGTCCTACGCTTTATCATGAGATATGTGCATTATAAATTTAAACGGTTATCACAAAATTTCTCTCCAAAGTGTCTATAATAATTTATATTCCACCAGCAAATACTTGATATTATTATGCTCTTAAATTTATTTTATTTTATTTTTTTGAGACAGAGCTTCAAGCTGTCCCCCTGGGCAGAGTGCCGTGGCATTACAGCTCACAGCAACCTCCAACTCCTGGGCTCAAGCGAGTCTCCTGCCTCAGCC